AAAGATAGGATGGAAGAGAAATTGATCAGTGAAAAGATTAGCAAGGAGAATCCAAGTATTTCAGAAGAGGAGAACGTAAAAGATGCCTGAGGACATCACAAGAACCAGCAGGACTCCAACTTTTGCAGCCTCAGAGTTGCAAAGGTGAAAGAATTTGCTTTGAGAAGACAGCCCCAGAGCACTATGTTCGAGAATGGCTGTGGCCTAGAGAATTTGTTCCTTGAGATTGGGTGAAGAATGCGCAGTGATCCAGGCAGTCGACCCCCACAGCCAAAAGAGAAGGAAGCGTGGCCACTGATCCAGCTGATGGCAGACCTTGGCTTCATCCATGTAGAGCTAGTTTTAGGTGCATGCAGAATGCAAGTTTTATGTGATCAGAAAGGCTTCCATCTAGATCTCAAAAGAAGACCCGGGAGGCCAAGCAGTGTGCTTCTGGGGGCAATGTGTGATAGTGAGTGTGAAGCCAAAGGTGCAGAGGAGACCCCAAAGTCTGGAGAAGCCAGGATTTTGGTCATCTGAGGAAAACCGCAAGGAAGAAGCACAGCCAGCCCAAGAGAGAAGCCATGGGAGCTACAACCACTGGCAGTGGTAGAGCCACCCAACCTTTTTAGAGTTCACAAGTTGCCACAGATTGCCGGGGATGCTGGAAATGGAGCTGTGGGATTTAATATTTGCTCGGTTGGAGTTTGGTCTTGCTTCATTCCGATTCCTTGCCTTCCCCATTTGTGACTTTTGGAATGAAAATGTCTAGGATATGCCATCAAGTGTTTTAAGTTTTTAACTTCCTTTCCATTTGTATAGGATTTTGCAGCTAAGAGTTTGTATTAAATCTCAGAGAACACTTTTTTTTTTTTTTGCAGAGTTGGGGATTGAACTCAGGCCCTTGCGCTTGCCAGGCAAGCACTTATTCAACTGAGCTATCTCCCTGGCCCCTTAGAGGAGACTTTGGATTTGGAATTTTAAGCAATGTTGAAACTGTTAAGACTTTGGTAATTCTTGGAGCTGGTCTAAATGCCTTTTGCATAAAAGGATGTACATAAGCCTTTGGGGGACTGGGGTGAAACACTGTGGAGTGTTTAAATGCCCCCCGCCCAAAAAAAACCCAGCTTTCTCAGAGTCACAGCTGAGGCATTTTGAGAGGTAGCTAGATCTACAGTGTATAACATGGGGATTGATTCATGGTGCAATGCTAGGCTCAAGGACACTAGCAGGTCATGCTATCTGCTTCAGGGAGCCAGGACAGGATATAATGGATAGAAAGAATTGTGGTTGCCCCTTGCTGTTTTGTCTATTATGAACTATTTCCCCTCTGCTATTATATTCTCTCTGCCTATTATGGACTGAAATCTCTACAAACTGTGAGCCAAATAAGCCTTTCCCTTTTTAATTTTGAGTGTTGAGCATTTTGTCTCAACGTGTAGGAAAAGTAACTAAGACACCCAGGGAGATACCACCTGGAAGGGGACAGACCCAGGAGCCCAAGAGCTGACCTAGGGGAGACCTCCCTTCCTGCAAGGCCCTGGAGGACACTGTCAGGACTGCGTCACAAACCTCAGTGCTCCTGGATCCAGCTGGCCATACTCCAAGTATGGCTGCCACAGACCGATCGACCTGCAAAGGCTTGTTCAGGCCTGCGGCCCCTGACTTGGCTTCCCAGGCTGAAGCCTCCCTGAGTAGGCTTGGCAGTGTTTTGCTCTGGTTGGCTGCCATGACAAAATACCATAGACGGCGTATTGTCTTCTAACCGCAGAAATCTGTTTCTTAGTCCTGGAGGCTGAAAGTCTGAGATCAGATGCTAGATCAGGATGCTGAGTTCCGGTGAGGTCTTTGGTCCTGGCTTGCAGGCAGCCAGCATCTCTCGCTATGTCCTCATGTGGCAAGAAAGAGAGCTAGAGGACACAGGACACAGCACAAGCCCCGCAGGGTCTTTTATAAGGGCTCTAGTCTTGTTGGATCAGGGCCCCACCCTCATGGCCACATCCAAACCTAATCACCACCAAATACCATATGTAGAGGTTAGGTCATCAGTGCAGGAATTTTGGGCCTGAGGGACACAGTTCGCTGAGTAGCAGGGAATAAGGGAAGAGAAGACCCCTGTGGGACAGAAGGAGCAGTAGAAAATTTCCTTTGCTTTTGTGCAAGGGAGGGAGGAAAAGGATATCCTCAAGCTGCCTGGAGGTTGGTGGCAGAGCCAGATCTATAGCCCAAGTCCCTGGCATCAGATCTTTTGCTCAGAGCAGGATGCCCTTAGGAAAGTACATCTCAGTTCAGCTCTGCTTGGTTTACGAGAAAAAGCTCAGACAGAAGCGGAGGGGACCAGCCACTCCCAGTTTGATGGTTAAAGAAAAAGTCAGGATACTGTTTCTCACTCTCTGCCAGCCTTTGGTTACCTTATCCCTCTGGGGTCAGGATGGCTTTAGGAGCGTACATGGAGCCCCAGGCCCAGGCTGGCTGTCATTGCCACCAAGGTGGTGCTCCACAGCTGCTGCCCCATGGATGTGTGACGCCCCAGGTGTGGGAGGCACAGCCTGTGTCAGATGCAGAGACACCCCAAACCTCGGCTGTGGCCTGAAACTCTAATCATCCTGACCACAAATTGCAGAGCCAGCTCGTAGTGAGGGTTTAAGTAAATTCAGGAGGGATGAAAAGCCCTTCTTTGAGTGGTTTCTGAAGACAGTGGTGTTGCGTATCAAAGGTGATTGGCTTTACTTTTAACTACATGCCCTTTGTTTCTCTTCAGAATATTTTTTTCTTGTCTGGGAATCAAGCTTGGGGCATTCATACTGAGCTGAATCCCCAGTCCCTTTTCTTTTTTATTTTGAGACAGGTTGTAGCTAAGTTGCCCAGGTCAGACTCCTTGAGATCTTCCTGCCTGAACCGGAATGCTGGGACTCTAAGCACGCAGGGTGTGGTGGATGCCTGTAATTCCAGCACTCAGGAGGCCCAGGCAGGAATTCAAGGCAGCCTAGGCGAAACAGTGAGTTCAAGGCCAGCGTCCACTACATAGCCAGACCCTGCTTCAAGAAACCAGAAAAAAAGAAACCTGCTAAGTTAGGAGGATAATTTCTCACACAGTAGAGAGCAGCTGTGTAATAAAATGATTATTAAGCCTTTTAGTGCTTCTTTACATGAATAAAAGCAAATACAAATATATATTTTTATTTCTTCAACTTTCTTATACCATGAAAAATATTGCACTACATCCCCCGTTCTGTGCTGTTTCTTGTCCAATCCAGTTTCCCAGCTATCTCTTCCTAGCTTTTCTCTTCAGAGCTGTGTAAAGTTCTGTCAGGTGGATTGTGCTGCAACTCTGCAGCTGGACATCTGGGTTGTTCGAATTCTTCCCCTGACCCACAGGGCTTGGGACACTAGCTTGAAAGGGTCCCTTGACAGGGCTCACAGCACTGCGGCAGAGGCCGCGGAAGTGACGTTGTGGGGTGGAAGGAGCCTTTGTCCGCGGCCAGATTCTCCCACATAGGGCCAGGCACCCCTAATGTGCCTGGAAATCCTGTACCTGTTTTGTGTTAGCAGTCATAGGATGACTGCCCGAGCTGGAGAGAGCCTCAGCTTTTATTGTCTCTTGCTTACATGTTCTGAGGAGCTGAGAGCCAGGGAGGGGAGAAAAACCCCAAAACCTCGTCATAATGTGACTTTAAAGCACACACTTAACAGAAAGCCCTCCTGAAGATGCATCCTGCGGGCCGGCTCCCCTCAGCCAGCCTGCAGGGAAGCGGCCCCACCCTCGCGGGATACTTAGTTCTGGGGCTGTGGGCCCAGGGCGTGGGGTGGCTCCAGCGCACACCCGCGCCTGCTGGGAGGGCCACAGGGCAGGGCCGGGAAGGCGCTCAGAGAGGCGCTCGTGGGCTTTTGATCCTCGGATGGTGGAGGGTCAGGGCCCGAGAGCAAAGGCTGTTTTATGACCCTGGAGGATGGAGCGCTGTTGCACATCCCCGCTGGGGGCTCCCCTCCAGGGCCGGCAGTGTTCTGATCACGCGCTGTACTTTCCACTGCGCCAGGACTGCCCGAGCCATCGGAAACGCTCTGCATCAGTAATCAGGCCAGGATGTGCTCTGAGAGCAAGTCCGGTCCGCACCAAGAAGCCAAGCGGGGCCCAGTCGGGTCTGGCTGACTTCTGCAGTTACAATGTCAGTCACCAGGGCTCTCCATTATGGGAAGATCTGGGCAGCACTTCTGCCCAGAGAAAGAGGCAAAATTGCCTTCGTGTCTAGAAGCTGACTTTAGAATATAGTGATGTCAGAAAGGGGAGGGGGGAGAAAAAGCGGGAGGACATTACTATCCTATGGTAACACGTTTAGTCTGGCTTTGACATGCACTAACAACTGAAGCAGGATGTGGCTGCACAGGCCCCTAATCCCAGCACTCCAGAGGAGGCCGAGGCAGGAGGAACATTTATGTAAGGGCCAGCCTGGGCTATACAGTTAGGAGCCCCTGTCTCAAAAAAATACATAAATAAAAACTGTTGACTGATTGAGTGGTTAGGTTATCCAGTGTGACATACGCACACATACACACATGGGTAGATAAACTGATCTTATATAACCAGTGAAATTAAACTTATTTTCTAGTATTTATATACCATTTGTTTTTCCTTTCACAATTTTTTTTTTTTTTTTTTTGAGAGAGAGAGACTATGAAGTTAGGCTGGGGTTGAAGTTATTATGTCACCTCAGCTGGCCCTGAACGTGCTGTGATCCTCCTGCCTCAGCTTCTCAAATTGCTAGATTTCAGGCCTGTGCCACCACTCCGGGCCTGTCTTTTCCTATCTTTTATTCACTTCTCCTGAGGGGCTGACTGTATTGTTTTATTGTATGCATTGTGTATGGATGAGTCCTTGTAGACGCGGCTTCTACTCCAAACTGTGCTGCAGACACGGGTACCATTTTTATTTGAGGTGTCTGAAACCTCTTTGTGAATGAGTATGTCTCTCAGGTACAAATCATTGTTTATTTCTGTTTCTGTCATTCCAATTTGATCCTCAGAGCTGGACCCTTGCACTGCGGGTGACCATGGCTGTGAACATTCCTGTGTAAGCAAGGAAGACTCATTTGTGTGCCAGTGCTTTGAAGGGTTCGTACTCCGAGAGGATGGCAAGACCTGCAGGAGTGAGTGTCAGCACCCCGGCTCCTGATCACGGGCTGCGGCAGCACGCTGCCCCGGGCTCGCTCTGCAGAGGTCAGATTTGCGCTGCCCAGCGCCACACCAGCAAATGCAAGGTGGGATCCTAATGAGATCCCGAGACAGGAAAAAGGACCCAAGGGAAAACGAAGTAGATGTGGTCCAGGGCTATTGCTCAGTGATGAGAGCGCTGGCTTAGCATGTACAAGGTACCACACACACACACACACACACACACACACACACACACACTCACACTCACACACCTGAGTATAAACCAAGTTGGGACATCAGCTAATAATATTGTGTCAGTCTGGGTTCATTCCTTATAATAAATATACGGTCTTACTGTAGATGTTAATAATAAGGGAAACTGAGTGTACGGCATATGGAAATTCTCTCAATGTTTTTATAAATCTGAAACTGTCCTTAGAGCCAGCCAGATGACTTGGCAGACTAAAGCGCCTGCTTAGGCAGAGCGCAGTGGTTGGGGTTCAATCCCCAACAAGCTATGCTGTGCCAGCCCCACCCCAGGGGTCTGCTGAGACTTGGAATGAGCCTGGGCGTGGTGGTGCATACCTGTAATCCCAGTACTTGGGAGGCTGAAAACAGAAGAATCACTACGAGTTCAGTCTTTGTAGTGAGACCCTACAGACCCTGTACTAAATACATAAAATTTTAAAAACCAAAACTGTCTGACAAGTAAATTCTAGTGATAGGGACAGCTCACTGTAGAACACATGCTTCTCATGCACAAGGTCCTGGGCTCAACCCCCAGCACCTACATCAATTAATAAATAAAATATATTTAAAAATAAACAAGCAAAAAACTAAAAAAAAAAAAAAAAGGGGGGGGAGCAACACTGGACTCGCTCCCTTCTGTGCTGTGTGGCAGGAAAGGAGGAAGATATGCACCAGAAGTCCCCAGTCAGTCAGCCTGTAGTTCTGCAGTTATTAGCTGAGAAAGTTGCTCACCCTCTCTGAGCTGCTGTTTACCTATTTTTATTTATTTATTTATTTATTTATTTATTTATTTGGAACAGGGTTTCGCTATGCAACTTGGACTCATAGTGATCCTCCTGTCTCAGGCTCCCCAGCGCTGGGATTACAGGCATGTGCCACCATGCCTGGTTTTGATGGCCACCATGGCATGTGGTACGGGGGATGGAACTTGGGTCCTTGTGCTTGCCAGGCAGGCGCTTAGACTGCCAAGCTATCTCCTCAGCCCTACCTATCTTTTATAATGTTAATGTTATTTCTGGTGTACACATCCGTCCTTGGCCACCTGCTGAAGAAGCCACCCTTGTTTCAGAAAGCAGCGCCTCTCAGACAGAGCATGACAAGCCTGCCAAGGACAGGAGCACAGTGACTTCATTATTGGGCTAAATCTCAGTGTGGTGTAATTACAGGCGTGTGTAACCCCGAGCAAATGATTCCCATCCGTATCAGTTCAGTCTTCTCAAGTTTCTCAAAGCTCTTTACAAAAAGTAACTTGGGCCAGACATGGTGACTCACATCTGTAATCCCAGGGTGTGGGAGGCTGAGGCAGGAGCAGCCCTGTGAGTTCAAGGCCAGCCTGGGCTACACAGTGACGGTTAACACTACTGGAAGGAAAGATGAGTAACAAATTATTATTCTGACTTTCCAGACAGGTATACTAACACTTCAAGAGCTTAAGTGATTCTCCAAAGTCCAACATTATGTAGGGACAAAGTCAGATTAGACTTCAGTGCCTCTCCAGCTAAGTTAGAGATGCTGGTAGTGAGAGAGGTGGAAGGGTACTCAGGAACCCTCCTTCAGCTTACCTTTCTGCTCAGACAAAACATGGAAGCAGCCTTGACACACGGGCCCACAAGGCCAAGACCCTGTAAAACTTAAGTTGGTGCACTTGTTCTGTCTGCTGTCGCCCACAGAGAAAGACTTCTGCCAGGATGTGGCCCACGGCTGCGAGCAGGTGTGTGTGAGCAGCGACAAGTCATACACCTGCCAGTGCTTGGAGGGCTTCAGGCTCGCAGAGGACGGCAAGCGCTGCAAGAGTAAGGAGCCTGGGGGTGGGTGAGGGTGGTTTCCATCTGTGGACTCTGGCAATTAGGCATTTTCATTTAGTCTCTAAAATGCCACCCTACAAACTTCTTTCTTGGAGACTGGATCTTGCTATGTAGCCTAGGCTGGTCCCAAAGTCTCATTGACCTGTCTGCCTCAGCCTCCCAAGATTATAGGTGTGTACTACTACATTCCACTTTAAAATCTTCCTTTTCACACTTGTTAATCAGCATCACAAATTGCAGTTCCTACCTTGGCTACCCTGAAGTGTTTCCCTAAAGATTAGGTTGACCTTAGTCCCTTGGGAATGTCTCAGGGGGTCCTGAGTTGCGGGGCACTTTGCCTGTCCCATGTTGGCCCTGAACATAGCAGCCATGTGGATGCCACGGGCTAGGGCAGTACCCAGCCAGGCAGTGCACAGAAGTGGAATCTCTGCCAGAGCCACCACACACAGAAGAAGATAATTGTAGGCTTGTTCTTCCTGGCAGACTTTACAAGTGAGGGTAAAGGGGACAGGAAGGGCCAAGGGATTTTTGTGGGTTTTTGAAAAATCCATTCTTTTTTTTTTTCTTTTTTTGGTGGAACCAGGGATTGTACTCAGACCCTTGCGATTGCCAGGGAAGCACTTATTCTACTGAGCCATCTCCCCAGCCCCTGAAAAATCCATTCTGTCACTTACTTTTTTTTTGTGGAACCAGGGATTGAACTCAGACCCTTGCGCTTGTCAGGGAAGCACTTATTACACTGAGCCATCTCCCCGGCCCCATGTCATTTATTTTCCTAAGTCATACATAAGAGTCTTATTAGAAAATGTATTAGAGTCCTGTAGAAAATCAGATATTGTGTTGGAGGTGGTGGCACACACTTGTAATCCCAGCATTCAGGAGGCTGAGGCAGGAGGAGCCCCTCAAAATCATAGCTACATAGAGTTCAGGCATAGCAAGATCCTGTCTCAAAAAAAAAAAAAAAAATTGTGTGTGTGTAGATGTGTGTGTTTGTGTGAAGACAGAAAATAATAAGGAAAAAAAAAAAGAAAAGAAAATAATAAGGAACTGGCTCATGGGCTTGTGAGGGCTGGCAGCACAGTCTTGAGATGCAGAGTCTGCTCTTCTCAGAGAACTTTGGTCTTCTTCTCTTGACCTTCAACACTGAGGTGTATGTATCATTACCCTCACAGTACATAGCCAGATGTGGACATGCGAGCTCAGAGAGGGGGCAGTGGAAGTACACAGGACAGGGCACTTTTATCCACGGGGGATTCTGGCTGCCCAGCTTTCTTTTGGGAATTCTGACAGTGTCTTACTTGCTTTTGTGACGCTCTGCCTCAGTTGGCCAAATGGCCCTTTTTTAGTTAGGGCAAAAGTTCGTTTGCGTTTTCCAGGTGGTGGTACCCACCTGTAGGCCTCGCGCTCAGGAAGCTGCGGCAGGAGGATCGGCCTGAGTTCAAGGCCAGTCTGGGCGACATGGGGAACCCTGCCTAGAGACAGGAGTTCACTTCGAGATGTCCTATTCTAGTGACGCACTTCCGCACCTCTCCCCTGCCGGGCCGCGGCCCACGTCCACACTGACAGGGCCACGTGTCTCCATTCTCTCCTCAGGGAAGGACGCCTGCGCTTCGAACTCACACGGCTGCGAGCACAACTGCGTGAGCAAGGGCGACTCCTACGTCTGCAAGTGCGCCCAGAACTTCATCCTGGCCGAGGATGGACGGCGCTGCAAGAGTGAGTGGTCTGACTTGGCTCTGCCCTCACTTGGTTTTAGAGCAACTGCTTCTTGGGACAAGGCCACAAATCTTTCATCTCTGCTTCTCTCATAAATCTAAGCTAGTGTATGCAAACAGGGCGGAGCTAGGAGAAGGCCTCAGGAAGGCCACGGCAGCACTTGGAGAAACACCTCCAGTTGGGGCGACCTGTGGAATCACTTCCGGTCTGAGGTGACCTCTGGAGGCACTTCCGGTTTGAGGTGTCCAGAAGTTCAAGCAGCTGCTGTGAGCCTAGTCTGGATTAGAAAATCTGGTTGTGAAGGTAGAATTGTGATCTGCACTATGCTGGAGAATTACAGCACAGTGCACCTAGGAAAAGCCCTCAGTACAGGACATAGGACTTTAGGAAAAGAGATGGATCTAAGGTTGGAGCGTTAAAAAACAAAATTTAAACCAAGCATGGTGGTGCACACCTATACCTCCACCACTCGCGAGGCTGAAGCAGGAGAATCGCCCTGAGTTTTAGGCCAGTCTAGAATACATAGCAAAATCCTGTCTCTAAAAAATAAGCAAAATATTTTAACCATTAAATAGCAAAAAAAAAAAAAAAAAAAAAGGAATCATTTTATAATCTCGGAACAGAAAAGCTTGCAAAATTTAAAAGCCTTGAAAAGAGAAAATATGTCTTGATTAAAACTATGATACCCTTTTTTACCCACAAGTTATCAGAGATTGAAAAATGTGATAATTCCTTATATTGGCAATGGTGATGTGGTAGTAGGAAATTATAAAGTGATCAGTGCGTGTATAGCTAGTGCAGATTTTAGGAGGCTGATTTGGCCATAATTTCAATGCAACTCCAGATAGGAGCATGTGTTCATAAAGCCACATACTCAAGCATATTTTTGTATACCATTATTTCCAGCAGCAAAAAACTGAAAGCAAACTAAATATCTGCGCTTAAGAGACCAGTTAAATAAATCATGGTTACCTACACAGTGCTGCTATTAAAAAGAATGAAGTAACTCTAAAGAGACCTCAAGTGTGTTTGCTTCTTTTGTGGTACTGGGGATTGAACCCAGAGCCTTAGCACTTGAGCTCTATCCCCAGCCTATTTTTTAAATTTTGAGACCAGATCTCACTAAGTTGCCAAGTTGCCCAGGCTGGGCTTGAACTTGGGATCCTTCTGCCTCAGGTTCCCAGAGTGCTGCTGTGATTATACTGGATGCTGCCTTGCTTGGCTTTCCTCCAAGACATCTGAAATGAAAGAAGCACAGTGCTAGGGGTGGGGGAGATAGCTCAGAGCTTAAGTGCCTGCCTGGTAAGCACAAGGTCCTGAGTTTTGATCCCTGGTACCAAAAAAGAAAAAAGAAAAAAGCACAATGCTCCTAAGCTGATGTGGTGATACATGCCTGCCTTAGGCATTTCCTTGTTCAGTAGCACAGAATCAACAACTTGAGTGGTGTGGACAAGCCCTTGGTGGAAAAAGGGAAGAACCCAGCTACCCCATGCACACACAAACACCCAGTTACATTAGCGTGCTACACTGGCCAGGCCTAGAAACATTTGCCAAAGTGTGCGTTTTTACTTGCTTATACAGTTGTGCTTCACTGTGGAAGATTAGACACATAAAAGAGAATGGTATAATAATACACCGAGCACTGAAATGAGATCAGCCACTTGGGGGTCTGGGGATTTTTCTTACATAGCCCTTAAATAGCAGTCTGTCCACGCCCAAACTGCTAAAGTGTTTGCATGAAGTTTTTCTCTTTTACTGTCAACTGAGTTGCCCCAGAAGCCTTGGTTAAAAAGAATTCAGTGTTTGTTTGTTTGAAGCTCTAATGGTATGTACTTAAGAGTGTCCCACCGACTAGACCCCACCTTGTCTCTTCCCCTCTCAGTGAGCACAGAGCACATCAGATGGTAGGCTGTGCAGTGTGGGGCACGCTGTCTTGGTCACTGTGGCAGTCCTGCCACATGTACCGACTCACACAAAATCATGCCTCTCATTCACTCTCTCCACACAATACGTGGCTCCCAGAATTTAAAGGAGATTTGTCTGGGCTCGAAGTTTGTAGAGGGTCCAGTCCACAGTCTGCTGGTTCCAAGGCAGAGTGGCCTGGAAGAGCGACATGGGCAGGCAAGGGAGCTGCTCACCTAAAGCAGGACAGGAAGCAGAAAGTGGAGGAGGAGGAGGAGGAGGAGGAGGAGGAGGAGGAGGAGGAGGAGGAGCAGGCAGAGAGGTACAGCCTCCTAGGCCACAGCCAGTAACTGCCTCTTCGACTAAGCCCCAACTCCTACCAGCAGGGCAGCTCTAAGGCCCGTAATACAGCCATCTTCCAAAAGCCATACTTCTGAGTGCTCCACGATCTTGTGGGACAGCCGATATAAAGTGTCACAAAGTGCACCGTAAATAAAATTGTGGTTGAATAAATTAATAAATAGTGTCAAGATATTCAGAGAGGGCTCATAGGAAAGCTCTGTGGAAGAGCTGACCTCTGAATGCCAGTGCTTCAGTGATGTCAGCCTCCTAGAGCAGTTGCATCAGCTCGCAGCGATCAGGTACAGTGTAGGACTGTGTGTTACATAATTGGAACATCTGCTGTGTGTGTTTGCTTATGAAAATTACTATTTTACCAATTTGATCAGCCAAACATAAATAAAAATGCATTTGAGGGCCAGGGATGTAGCTCAGTGGCACAGTTGCTGCCTGGCAAGCTTGAGGCCAAGATATATATATATATATATATATTTGTTGTTGCTGTTGTTTTATTCATTTATTTATTTTTGGTGGCATTGATATGGGGGAAGTGAAACTCCAGACCTGAAAAGTACCTGGTATGATTTTGTGTTCTCTAAAACCGAAGAATGAGTTTTAGAGACAGATTAAGAGCAGAGTGTTGGGGGCTGGTGAGATGGCTCAGTGGTCTAAAGCACCTACTTAGAACAAGCTTAGCAAAGCACAGGGACCACGGTTCAATCCCCCAGCACCACATGCCAGTCAGCCCCACCCCCTGGTAGGCTGAGCTGAACACACACACACATAAATAAATAAATAAAAATTAAAAAAAAAAAGAGCCGAGTGTTTACTGGGGGAAATAAAGCTCCTGTCTGAGAGAGTGAGAGAAGGGGGGCTGAGCGGGTTGTTCCCAGGAAGCTGTCTCTTCCAGGGACTTTCATAGAGTAAAACCATGCAGTGAGGCAGGTCTAAAGTGGAGAACATGGCAACTTGCTTAGGTGGGCATGAGGTGGGACAAAACTGTGGTCAACCAATGAGATTACAAACACCATCGCTCAGGTAAAATTGATTAAATCCAGTACCAAGTGAGGAAGTGAGTCATGTAGCAAGCAGGCATGAATAGCGCACAGGGTCTCTTACTGTTGGGGTTGGGTTAATGACTCATTTGGGACCTTTCAAGGTGATTGATACCTATTTAGAATATCAATCCCTGATGACCATCCCTAGGGAAGTATGTGGCTGTATTTGATTACTTTTCCGAGTGCAAAGTCACCTTGTCTTCCATATTGTCCTTGAGGGCCTGGCCCTCCCTGTCTGACTGCCTATAATATTTCTATCTAATTTAGCTGCCTGCAACAGCACTAGGGATTGAATCCAGGGCCTTTGCAGAAATGATCATTGTTTGCAAACCATACATACCTTTTTTTTTCTTTTTTTCTTTTTATGTATCTGGAACAATATCCTCCTGTTTTCAGCCTCCCCAGCACTGGGATTGCAGGCATGCACCACCAGGCCTGGACCCTGTCTCTGGCTCAGTTAGCCCTGGGGGCGGGGCCAGCGCAGCATGTAGGACTGGGGATGGAACCCTGGTCCCTGCACTCGCTGAAGCAGGCCCTTAGACCATTGAGCTATGTCGCTGGCCCCACACACCTCTTTTTGTTTGGTTGGTTTTATTTGATATGGTATCTCACTAAATAATTTAGGCTGGGCTTGAATTCACTGGGATCCTCCTGCCTCAACCTCCTGAGTGCTGGGATTACAGGCATGTGCCACCACAGAGGACTGCAACACCTCATCTTTCTAAAAAGAAAAGTAAAGGTGCTTCTCCAAAGCAGTTGGGAGCTGGGGAGATAGCTTGGCAGCCTAAGCGCCTGCCTGGCAAGTGCAAGGACCTGGGTTCTATCCCCAGTACCGAATGCATGCCCCGCTGGCTCCAGAACCCCAGGTGTGGTGGTGCATGCCTGTAATCCCAGAGCTGGGGAGGCTGAGACAGGGGGATCACTATAAGTCTGCATAGCGAGACCCTGTAACAAATGAATAAATAGGGCCGACCAAATAGCTCAGCGGATTAAAGTGCCTGCTTAGGCACAGATGCAGTGGCCAGGGTTCAATCCTCGTTTTGTGGTGCCGGCCCCACCTCCAGGGCGCACTGAAACAGAGATTGTGACTGGGCATGGTGGCGAGCACCTGTAATCCTAGCACTTGGGAGGCTGAAAACAGGAGAATGACTATGGGGCTGAGCTACATAATGAGAACCTGTAGACCCTGTACTAAAAAAAAAAAAAAAAAAAAGATTTTTAAAAAGCAGTTGGGCCTCCAACTGAGCATCATTTTCCTCTACTTTTATGTACAGATGATATTGAATTATTTAACTTGCCTTTCACTCACATAGGATGCACCGAGGGCCCAATTGATCTGGTCTTTGTGATTGACGGATCCAAGAGCCTCGGCGAAGAGAATTTCGAGCTCGTGAAGCAGTTCGTGACCGGAATCATTGATTCCTTGGCCATTTCCCCCAAGGCCGCCCGCGTGGGGCTGCTCCAGTACTCCACACAGGTGCGCCCCGAGTTCACCCTGCGGAGCTTCCACTCGGCCAAGGACATGCGGAAGGCCGTGGCCCACATGAAGTACATGGGCAAGGGCTCCATGACCGGGCTGGCCCTGAAGCACATGTTCGAGAGGAGTTTCTCCCCGGCGGAGGGCGCCCGGCCCCTGTCGGCACGCGTGCCCAGAGCGGCCATCGTGTTCACCGATGGACGGGCCCAGGACGATGTCTCCGAGTGGGCCAGCAAGGCCAAAGCCCACGGTAATGCGCGCCTTTACCGTGCCACGGCACGGCCAACTTTACCACACTGCCACCTAGAGGCCGTAATGGGACCGGTTTTGAGGCAGGCTGGCCTTGAATTCACTATGTAGTCCAACCTGACCTTGAGCTCATGGTGATCCTCCTGCCTCAGCCTGGGATTACAGGAGAGCTAGCGCCAGCTTCCGCAGCTTTTTTTTTTTTTTAAATACTTTTATTGAGAAACAAATAGCAATGAGACAGTTTCAAAACCGATTAGGGCAGTTTCAATAATTAATACATTGCATATTGTCTTCTCAGTGGTTATTCATAGTACAAGATGCAGACATGATATCCTGTCCACAAACACTATTAGTATAAATCTTTCTATTCATTGAATTAAGACAAAGTAGCTGTATATCTATCCTATTTGGAATATACAGGTACAAAATGGTCTATCATCTGTATTCCCTTTTTTTTAGTTTTGTCAGAGATGGGTATTCCATTGTCATTTAAATATTGTAGGTGCGTGAATAGAGCAAAACATTCCAATATAGTCCAGTAGTCCATAATAGTAGTGGGTTTTCCGTAGGACTGGCAATGTCAGAAGTTGTTGACCTGAGCCTTTTACAGCTCAGCATATTAATATGGCTTTACTTTTTATGCCTTGTTTTTATACTTTTCTGCTGGATGGTTAAGACCAAGATAAAGCAAGACCTATATAACAAGAAATGTACAAAAAAAAAAGGGGGGGTAATAAATGAAAAGAGACAAGAAAAAAAATGTCATAGGACTGTCCCGCTACAATGCTGTATATGTTTAGATTTCTAAATTTCTGTGTAAAAATATGTAATTGTTTATTCCTATTTTTAAAATATTTTTCTTCATATTCTGTAGTGACTTAAACTTTAACATATCAATACTTGATGGAAAATACCTGTTCCATGTTATGTCTAAGATGTTTGATATCCAGACAGATAGTGAGGTTAAGCTCAACTGCCTAATAATAATAAGCTTCTCTTTTGGAGAGTTAACAACTTAAGTTTGTAGACCATAAATTAGAGAAAAAGAAGGGCCACAAGGACAGCCAACATTTTGGCCCTAGTCTTTCAAGGGCAGTGAATACTGAGGACATAGGAGAACCTGTACTGTAACATCCCGTAACTCAGTTGTTTCCCAAATTTTCTGATCAAGGAGATTATGGGGCCAAAGAGTAAAGTGATCGATGATGTAGAGTGTGCCTAAGGAGAGTCACGTGGAGAGAAAACATTCTCTCAGGCTTTCACAGAGAGCACATTGGCCAAGCAATGGCTGTGACTCATCTACATGGCTGACACTCACAAAGGATCTATAAACTGTGGTACAGGGTTTCAGGGTATATTCTGAGGGGATTTGACTGACCTTGTGAGATACAAAAGAAGCTCCTTTTGTTTTTAACCAGTGCTCTGAGGGAACACTGAAAGCCCAGCAGCTGTAAACAGAGAACTCTCTTGCTAGCGCAGCAAGTGCTGGTATGACAATGGGAAGCGACAGTGGCTTTCTAAAAGGGAACCCAGAGCCAGGAGGGATAGGGAGACAGTGAGTGAGCTCTGAGCCCCTGTTGAGGCATGGTGCTCTAGCCGGCCCTTTGAGGGAAAAGGAAGGGGCAGACCAGGGCCTCCGCAAGACTTCCTGGCCAAGAGCCTGACCAGGAAGACATGTGACAAAACTTGCCAAGTCAGAGAGCAGGGCTGGGTGAGCTCTGTTCCTCCTTGGGGAAAGCCTGGCTAGAACTGACTTAAAGTTCTCTTTGTGACACTCCATTTTATGGACCTTGCTTACATTGCTCTTCAGTCTATTTTCCTTGCCGAAGGCAGTGGGAGCCAAGAGTGCATCCCTGAGTCATCTGCAGATTGTAAATTGCTGTTCACACTAGACAGGCCTGCTGGAGCTCACGACTAACCAGCCCATGGTCCTGGGGCCTGCATTCTTCACAAGTATTGCAGGAGGCATCTTTTTCTACAGAAATAGTGGTTCATCCTTTATTTGACTCATTAGAACAAATCTACCTGAGTGGGGGCATGGTAGGGCACACCTGTAATTGCAGTATTGGGGAGGCTGAGGCAGGAGGATCACTGTGAGTTTGAGGTCATCCTAGACTACAAAGCAAGACCTTGTCTCAACAGAAGACTAATCTACCCTATTCAGATTTCCACAAATCATCCAGATGTAGGTGGTAGGAAAGATAGGTATCTGGTTCTTGACTCAGGAAAGCTTATCTGGCGTGACATCCTCTTGTGCCTTTACTTATTCTGACATATTGGTGATGTCATGTTCAAATGGTTGCTTTTTAGGGAGTTGTGCATGAAGCCTCTAGGTTCACAGAATATGTTGACTTGGCTATTTGACCTGACAGATGGAAGAAAGTGTCACCTTACCCTTAGCCTTACAGGCCATTTTATGTTCATTAAAAAATGTAGGCTAATGAGTTGGCCAAAATATCTGTGCTAGAAGATGTTGGCAGGAAGAGTATACAGAGATGGGGTGGGTGGGAGGTAAGGATTTTGAAAAGCTTTGGGAGTGCTGGAAATCTACAGTTGCTAGTTGGCTTTGTTCTTTTTCTTGACTGGGATTTCTAACAGTTTCGAGTTGCCTCTTCATCTTGGGGTCTGGCAAGATTGTGCCCTCCTGAGAGAGGTGGCCAGAAGCAGCTGCTCTTGGCCCAAGGCCACTTAAGGTTCCTAACCCAGACCTTTGAGAAGAGGGAACCAGGCTATAAGGGCATGAATTGACCTCCAGCAGAGATTTCTGCTTTGGGGCACCTAGGAAGGTGCCTCTCCTGCTCATTCGGATTGGCCAGTGCAGGGCAGAGCTGTAGGCGGGTCCAGAACAGATGGGGGCTCTGCATGCCTGCCTCACTGGGGTACCTTGCCTCTCTCTGGGATCCTTGTCCTTCATTCCTCATACCAGAATAAAAATGGTGGGGGATATGAAGAAAAGGGTGTTGGGTGTTGACAGGGACCCTCGCATTAACCACGCACTGGGGGTCTGGAAAGCAACCCTGCCTTATTCTTAGTTCGCTCCACCCCTAGGTATTGAGATGTACGCCGTGGGCATAGGCAAAGCCATCGAGGAGGAGCTGCAGGAGATTGCCTCGGAGCCCACCACCAAGCACCTGTTCTACGCGGAGGACTTCAGCAGCATGGGTGAGATCAGCGCAAAGCTCAAGCAAGGCATCTGTGAAGGTGTGTGGGGCCAGGGCGGACTCAGCTTGCAGAGTGGGGACCCAGTCCTTCAGTGGTTCTGTGTGCCTCCCTGGTGGCTAGGGACCGTGACAACTGGAGATAACACATACTTGCATGTGACAGATGTTTTACCATGAGCATCTTAGCAAGAAGCAGATGTTGTGTGACTCAGAACTACACACATTCTTACGGTGTGCATGCAGTTGGACTGGCGGGGGCAGTCGTCCTTGCAGGGTCACTAAGGATAAAGAATTCCTCCCTGCGGGGACCACTTGTGTTTGCACAGTACCAGGCTGCCCTTCTCAATTCAGCACATAGCAGTTCCAGCAGGTTGCTCAGTGATTGCAGGATCCAGTCTTAAGGGATGGGTCTTGCTGCACTAAAGGAAAGAATCTGGGATGAAGGATGGGCAATGGGAGGCCCAGCCTCTGAGATGGTTTTGGCCCCATAGCTCTTTCATTATGGTGAAATGCTTCAAGTAGAGTGGTTGCTATTGTAACTAATCCTGGGCTTGAACTCTTTTCTGTCTACTCCCTAGACATGATGTGTGTTGTGGTGTGTGTGTGTGTGTGTGTGTGTGTGTGTGTGTGTGTCTTTCTTCAGAGCATGTATCACTGGGGTCCAGGCTTCTCTAGGACAGCTGCCCTAAAGTGGTCCTAGCTTTTTGAGTATTTGCTGTTATCAAGCAAAACCAAAGAGCCTGGGTCATGGCAGGTAGGTGAGGAGGTGGTCGTGCATGTGGAAACCTGTCACTCCTTCTCTGGTCTCTTCCTACTCAGCTCTAGAGGACTCCAGTGGGAGCCAGGATTCCCCAGCAGGGGAGCTGCCAAAGAGGGGCCACCAGCCGACAGGTACATCTGGAAAAGCAGTGTTCTCACTCCTTGGGGGCTTCTGCCATACTTTCCCTTCAAAGAAAACGCTGGAAGTAGTGCTGGGGTCTTGAAGTAGGGTCTGGGTGTCTGGAAGATCTAAATTATGTTACCTAAGGCCTTTTTGCCTCTACCAGACAGGGAAGAGTTCCCTCCATGCTTGAAGCCATATTTCGTAACTGGCTTATGTGCTCACAGTCTTTTTGCCACAGCACATCCTGAAGTATACTCCGTCACTGCATGTGTGCTAGGAGGACCAAGTGCCTTCCTTACTCTTACGGTGGCTGCTTTAGGCCACAATAGTGTTAAGCAGGTTTGACTTCAATTTTGTTTCTCTTTACAGAATCTGAGCCAGTTACCATAAATATGCAAGACCTACTTTCCTGTTCTAATTTTGCAGTGCAACATAGATATCTGTTTGAAGAAGATAAACTTTCACAGTCTACACAAAAGCTTTTCCATTCCACAAAATCTTCAGGTAATGCCAAGTAAAATACTGAGGTTAAGATGACTTGATGCCAGCCTTTCCACTTACCAGCAAGCTTAGCTTCAAGGAAGAAGTAGTAAAGAGAAGAATTTAAGTACAATGAAAACTAAAAAGATAATAAACTTTTAGGGCCATAAGTCTTCTTCCTAATCCACAAGAAAGGCTCTCCCAGTGTGAGGCATGCAGATAGCTTTTTCATGTTGCTTACTTTACGGGGTCTGCCTGCCTGGAATAGCTGGACATTTTTCTTATTACGGGTTCCCTTGTATGCTGATTCAGATGTGTTGTTATGTGTGGGGACATCTGCTGGGTGACAGAGGTGAACACTTTCCATCTGCTTTCTCAGGGAGCCCTCTCGAAGACAAACACGACCAATGCAAATGTGAAAACCTTATAATGTTCCAGAACCTTGCAAATGAAGAAGTCAGAAAGTTAACACAGCGCTATATCCTTTTCTAATAGTATGTTCTACAGAGACTGCAAATACCTAAATTTCACAAATACTACATATATGTAGGCATTGACATCAAGAATAGTGAACTCCAGGAAAGGAATTTTGTCCCCCGAGCAGTCTGATAGGTGTTTGAGAGCCAAGGTCAAGCCAAGTTTAGTGATGGTGGTCACTTAGTTGCCATCTGCTGTCCCAGGGGGATTAGCAGTAAGACCAGTTGCCAAGCAATATGTAAAGTCCAAAATAAAAAGGACTTAACTCTGCTAGGATGACACAGAGGCTGGCAAGTGGAATGCCTGGGGAAAGAATGTTGTAGAACAAGCTTTCACACTCTCACCCCTAAACATGTTCTTTAGCCCCAGCCTGCAGGGCAGCCACATTTAAATTCACTGTAAAGTTTCTCAGAGGGTGAGGCTTTTTGGCAGGGCTTTTCTTTTTTTCTTTTTGGCAGTAGAGGTCTTTTATATCAGCACTCTAAGAGATGAAACGTTCTACCCAGGGAACAGCAGGATCCAGTGATTCATTAAAACAATATTATTAAGAGAGGGATACTGTGAGATAATAGAGAAATGAGCTTTCGGGGTTTTTGCACATTGAACTCACTGGCAAGTGCTCTGAACTTAAAATGACAGTCAGCTTACTAAAGCTGGCTGCTGGATATCTCTGCATGCTCTACCAGTCTACAGGGAAATGGTTCAATTCCCAGCTGCCTCAGTGCCAGTGAGCTTCTAGCATAAGGAACACACATGTAACAATTCCCCCTTTTAAAGTTGGAAATATGCTCTAAGTAACATGAAATCATCTTTTGGCAGTAGTTAACACAGATGATGAATCTGGGGTCTCACTGCCAAGGGGGCAGATAAAGGGTGGCAAGGAGCTTCCAGGGAGGAGGAGCCCTCCTAAGGTCTCTCCTCCCTCTCTCCAACCCCTCAAGTCCACCTGCTTCTCAAGATGCTCAAGTTCTGTAGAAAGGAGCAGAGGACTGGATTCCTGAGCTGCCGTCCCGTCCCAGCCGGCACCATGGTGAACCTTCCTCCCTTGCTGCCTCTTATTTTAGCTCCCACAGTGGAGCCCTTCCGCCTCCTTCTTGCTACCCCACATTCCCACTACTCCTCCCAGAGATATGCTGGACCACGCCAACAAGCATGAGGGGTGAGAGTGGGATGAAAAATTTGAAGAATGGAAATGACAAATTCAAACTGAGCTACCTGACTTTCATGTTTCTAAAAATGAACTTAACTTGAACTATATTTATCTTGACAGCATGTTAAAGGAGTTACTATAAATTTACAAATCAGGATTTTAAAATATTTCACAGAAATTGGGGAGAAGTCAGGTGTGGTGGCAATTTGTAATCCCAAGAGACTAAGGCAGGAGGATCAGTGTGAGTTCAAGGTGAAACCTTGTCTCAAAAATTAAGAAATAAAAAATTTAAAATCAAGGAAGCCAGGAATGGGCTTACCTGTAATCCAGCATTCAGGAGGATCACTGCAAATTTGAGGCCAATCTGGGCTACTTTGTGAGTTCAAGGCCAGCTTGAACTGTATCTCAAAATCAAAAAATTAGGGAGACCCCCACCTCTTATACTTCAGGGCAAATTTTTATGTAGAAGAAGCACGCATTTGAATGTAAATTGAAATAGGTAATTCACTCTTCCTTAATTTGAGAATTACTAGAAGAAATGACACAGAGAATGGAAGCTTTGGAAAATCGCCTGAGAGCCACATGAGGACTGGAAATGCTCCACACCGTGGTACACCGTGGTGTTGCGGACTACGGCGAGGCATGGAGCCCCACAGCTCAGGCTGTCAGTGCATCTGTAATGTGCAGTAAACACAGCTGGTTCTGAGGACCCTGGTTTGCTATACAAAAAAGTGCACACTCTCTAGGAAAACAAATCCATCAGAGTTCTAGGATGAGCGTACCGTGAGAATAAGCTACATAAGATATGCTGTTACGTCCTCTAGACAGGATTTACTTCAGCCTCGGTCAGCCTTAGTGTTGTGATCTCGTTGGACTACTAAAGTTTGCAGTCCTCCTACAGACATTGGCTGGCCGTAGGAAATGCTGTTTCGTGTTGGACTTATTCTTGATATTTGTATATGGATGCATAACAATCACAGGACATGTGTACTCGTGTAACAAGTTGAATTTTTTTTATACAGTATTAAAATTCACTTCAGAGAATGGCATTGTGTGAAATTCTTCAATATATGATATATACACATGAAAATGGCCAATATATGAAAAATTGGCTAATCTTACTAATTGGGAAAATTCAGATTAAAACAATACTGTTTTACTGCATCATTTTGGCCAGGGAGATGGCTCAGTGGAATAAGCACTTCCCTGGCAAGTGAAAAGGCTTGAGTTCAATCCCTGGTTCCGCTGAAAAAAGTTCTCTTACTCCATAATTTTGACAGAAATTAGTGTCTGACTAGTATTAATATGAAGGCAGAAATAAAGGCTCTTGTACATGCTGCTGAGAGTCAAATAGGCCATTTCTTTGGGGAATAAACTGCCTATACAAATAAAATGAGCAAGGCAGCTAAGTCTGTGGCTGGCAGCTGACTTACAGATTACTCAGTGGACAGTCATAGCAGGAAGGAACGCTGTACAGCATGGGACTAGTTTGTGGGCAGTAAGTCTTCAGATTGGAAGAGGAACTGGTACATGGTGGTGAGTACAACCACAGAAATCCTGCACAGCTGTAAGAATTCCAACTCAAATATGAATTTAAAAGTCACACAAGATGTCTGTATCATTTCTGTAAATTAAAACATAAGTGGCTGGTGAGATGGCTCAGTGGTCTAAAGCACCCACTTAGAACAAGCTAAGCTTAAGCAAAACACAGGGACCACGGTTCAATCCCCCAGCACCACATGCCAGCCAGCCCCGCCCCCTGGTGGGCTGAGCTGGCCACACACACAAAATAAATAAATAAATTTAAAAACAAAACAAAACAAAAAAAAACATAAGCGCACTGCACTACTAGTGGCTGAAAGGTTACTGCTGTGTGTGAGTACAGGAGGGAAGGAGGACCACAGGGAAGGGAAGTGGAAGTTACGGGGATCTCAACCTCATGGGCTCACAATGGCACTCAGAGCAAGAGCAAGAAACTGCTGCCTACGAAACACAAACTGAATTACATCCAAACAATGCTTTACAAATGAGTGTGGAAATATTAGGGTTTTCACCAGAAAGCCCTTCCAGAGCGCAGCGTGGTACTGTCTGTATTTGAGCATCAGCTGACTCTTAAGTCTTGGTGTTTGTCTAAACAATACATTTGACCTGAAAAGCTGCTTTCATTAGGACAGTAGGGATGTGGGTTCACGTTACTTCACCTTCTGCTGTGTCCCAGCTCCCTCTAGTGGCTCAGATTTCTCCCACATGGGAGTGGAGGCTGGAGCCTAACTTTGTAAGGGAAAGCTGTGGAACTTGAAGTTGGAGTGATTCAGGATACTTATCTTGAGAATTATCTGAAATAGGAACTACTTCCTCCTATTTTTCTTGCGTTTGCCACTTGTAAGTCTCACATTTCACTTCATCATTTATCATCTTTAAAAAAAACTGTAGTATGCTGGGGATGTGGCTCAGGGCCAGAGTGCATGCCTTGCATGCACAGGCCAAGTTCAATTCACAGTACCACCAAAAAAAAAAAAAAAAAAATTGTATTGATAGTACATCTGCAGGACACAAGGATTACTTATCCTGGGGAGCTGGTACATATACAACCGTTCACCTCCTCCCTTTCCCATGTATAAACACTATTTCCTATTATGTCTTCTACTCTGCTCTTTAAACAATTTATACTTAGGGCTTCTCATATAAGAGAAACCTTGTGATATTTAGACTGATATACTTAACATGATAGTCTCAAGACTACATGACTTCCTGCACGACTCACATTTGTCCTACGTAGTACAGTACTCTGGAGGTACATTTTCTTTACCAATCCACCTGATGAAGTTAGCTACTGGTAAAGCAGCCATGAGCTGTGCCACTGTATACAATGTACCATCATGCTCTGTGCCTTGCTGTCATCTGTAAAAACATGGCTAATGGGAGGGACTATCCTCTTACGGGCTGTTGAAAAGACCTATCACTAGGTAAGAACAAGTACAGGCAGGCCCAGGAAAGGGGAAGGAAACCCAAGGCCATCAGCCACAGAATGCCCAAGTCTCTGGGTGGTTGGCAGCAATACACGGGCTGAACACAAAGGCTATTCCATGAAACACACGACCATCTTCCAGATAGCACAATGACATTCCTGAACGGCCTGACAGCTGACTTCTCTTTTGCTGCCACCATTCCAGACCAATTTTTGAGTTTTCTCACTATTCAAACTTTCAGATTGCTCTTCACACCTTATGGAAGTTCAACAGAGGCAAGGAGCTGGCTGGGATTTCCTATGTATTAAAAGCTACACATCAAACACTACTTTCATTTCAACTAGAAAGAAAAGCTGCTTTTGAAAAATGGCACTGGCCAGGAAGATAAAGGTGACTTTTTTT